AACGTTCCGACATAAACATGGGATCGGTTGCCACGTTCCGGCATAAAAATGGGATTGGTTGACATATTCCGGCATAAATATAGGATCGGTTACCACGTTCCAGCATAAATATTGGATCAGATACCACGTTCCGGTATGCTAACAGTTTGGGTGTGGGTTCCATAAGAGGACCATTAAATTGGGTGCCGTGAGAGGACCATTGAATTGGGTGCCGTGAGAGGACCATGGAATTGTGTTGTGTATCTACTTGTGATGATTACGTTCATATCTAATGATGATTGGTATTGGAAGATTGTATATTGCTCTAAATTGATAATCAATGTGTATTATTGAGAACATGTGATGCTACATTGTTCCTGAAAAGATGACTAATATTGTGTTTGTTCGGTATATGATTGTTCTATAATGTTGTGTTTACTTGTATGTGTTTCACTTATTGGGGTAGCCGCGTGATCCTACCAGTACACTCACAACCGATACTGCACTTGCTTGTTCTTTGTTGAGTACAGGGCATCTTCAGACGGCTATTGATAGACCTCAGTTAGGTGACTATTTAGAGTGACCGGATTCAATGGTGAGCCAGTTCTTTCAGGCTGCCATGGATCTCTCTTGTTTAAGTTCACTCTTTTCGGACTAAGACTATTTGTTTAATGTGTATGTTTAGTTTTGGGGTTGTACCCCTTGTTCTTAGACTTTTCGTTAGAAGAGTTTTGGTACATTAACTTTCAGGTTCTAGTGGTTGTTATTCCGCATTAGTTTGGTTAGTTGTTTGTTAAAACCTTTGGAGTTTATGGGAACTCCGTATTTTTACTATCATTAACACCTGCTTCCGTATCTTTAAATGCCTTAGTTTTCATAAAATTTATTTGTTTGGATTGTAGTAATGGTTATCCCACCGGAGGGTTTGTATGGGTGCCAATCATGACGGTTTGGGTCGTGACACTAAGGTAACAGTCTTGGCGTAGCAATCCAAGACCTCATGGTAGGGGGATAACCAGTTCATGCCAAGAATCACATCGAAATCAACCATATCTAGCAGAATAAGATCAACTCTAGTATCATAACCCTAGATAGTCATTAAGCAAGATCGCAATACCTGATTCACTACTAAGGACTCACCCATCGGGGTTGAAACATGAACCGGCTATACCAAGGACTTCGACCTCATACCCAATCAGGGAGCAAAATAAACGAATACATACGAGAATGTGGACCCGAGATCAAATAATATTGTAGCAGGCTAATGGCATAATAAAAGTGTACCTGTGATGACATTGTCATATGCCTCAGCCGCTGCGTAGAAATGGCCCTAAGCATCTCTGCCCGGAGCATCCGATCTACCACCTGACCTGCCTTCCCGAGCTCTGCCTCTGGTACCCTGTCGGCTGTCCCGACAGTCCTGGTCCAGACCACTGCTTCTAGCTGGAGAGGGAACTGCTGAAACTGGTGTAGGTGTAGGGGGAGCTAGTACAATTGCCCCTCGCCCTCGCCGGGGGCACTCTCACAACCAATGGTCAAGAGCAACACAATCATAACACTGTGAAGTTGAACGCCCTGGTAGCATGCCCTTTTATCGCTTCCCCCTTGGGCCTCGCGATGAATATGTTCCATGGATCAGCCATGGTCGACCACATCAATAAATGAAAGGCCGGCTGAAACCAAGTGCTCTGTGCCGACCCTCTGATGGTACCGCAACTCACATATAAAACATTTAACTCTCTTCTCCACTGTGGGCAGGATCATAGTAACATGGAGGGATGACTCATGGAACCACGCCTCGTACTCTTAGACGGTCATAGGGCCCTGCTCCAATCTGGAGAACTGATCACGAAGCCTATCCTTGACGCTTTGTGGTATGAACCGGTTCATAGGAGATCCAGCTGGCCTAGACTATCGATTTGTGCACCACGACTGCCTGGCTAGCCCACGAAACTGATGGGCGGTGAAGTCAGCTCCTCTCGACTCCACGAGGCCTAATGATTGTAGTTGCTCCTAGAAATTGAGCAGGAACTCGTGGGCGTCCTCCCTAATCTCCCCTAAGAATATCGACGGTGCCAACCTCTGGAATACCCCGAGCATCTTCTGCTCGCACAGTGGTATTTCTCGATCCTCTAAGTCTGGTTGGGCAGCCACATGAACTGGTGGCGGCTGAACCTCTGGTGCCGCTGCGGCCAGCTGACCCTGCGGGAGCTAGTAGGGGTGTGCAAAAACTGAACCGATAAAAGGGTTATTGGTTTATTGTTATTGGGTTAACGATTTTTAGTGGTTTCATAAAAAAAAAATTGGGTAATCAGTTCGGTATTGGTTTTTAATATTGGGTTATTGGGTATACCGATAACCCATTAAGACTAGTAATTTACTATTTTGACTTGTACATAAATATTATATATTAATCTCAATTCCTTAGTTGTTACTATCTTTATCCTTTAGCCTTCAATTCACACTTCACAATTTCACATTATAATAAACGTTAAAATCTAAAATAAGAACTTTATTCCTCTTAATTTCTCTTTATGTTATGCTTGTATAGTTCTTTTCATGTTTTCTTAATATTGTTTCTATTTTATGAGCATTTGTTAAGTTACATTATTGTGTTTTCACATCAAATTTATTAGAAAAGTCATATAATTGTTTTATAAGTATTTTCTTATTAGTTAAACCAAAAATCGAATTATTAAGGACCAAAACCGATAAACCAAAAATAGATAAAAAATATCTTATTGGTTGGTTGTTGGTTTAACATATTTTAAAACCAAAAACTGATAAACTGAACCGATAATACATAAATCGAACTGAACGATCGATGCACACCCCTAGGAGCTGGAGCTGGTGTTGGGAATGGTGTCTGTCGCATCTCCCTAATAGCTGCTAGTATCTGAGCCATCATGGCATGAAGATCAGGAGCTGCAGCTGGTGCGGGTGGTGGCTGGGATGGCCCCACTGGCTGTTGAGGTACAGATCCTGTCTGGGACTCCTCCTCCCTATCTCGAGCCTGTGCTGCGGCCCTGCCTCGACCTCGGGGTCAGCGTCTACCCCAAGCTGGGGCTCTATCTGCATGCCCAGGTGCATCACCCCCAGCCGCGCCACCTCGCGTGCAAGCCATCCTGCGAAAGAGTGAAACAAGTGAGATTTCAAGGAACCAATAAGACACACGATGCACGAAAGTGAAACAAAAGAAGAAATATTCCTAAAGACATCATGTACCCTCCCGAAGATAATTCACAGACGTCAGCGCACAGATCTTCAGGACTCTACTAGACGTTAGCTCTGTACTAGTGAGACCGATGAACCTGGGGATCTGATTCCAACTTATCACGACTCGATTTCACAAGTCATGATGGCACCTACTATAACCAACCAGTAGGTAAGCTAACCCGAAACCCAAAATAACAAGTAATGGGTCTGAGGGCAGAAACTAAACAAGAGTAGGTAAAGGTAAGATTTTAACTCCCCAAATCCATTTATCGATTCGTAGAACATAATCTAATGGGTAATTATCGATGGGGGAGGGTTTTGATCTAGAATCTATGGTGGAAAAGGCCCTAAATTGGGTATTAGGATCTTGGGTTTGGTCTAGGGTTATTGGGTATGCTATAATCTGGATAATTAGCCCTTTGATTGTTGATCCTTGCATTAATTGTATATTTTTAGACCACGAACAAGCGGGAAGAATCTGGAAAGGAAGATTCAAGTGTCTTAGGGGATTCAAGCTTGGATTCGAGGTAGGTGATGGTTCTAATTTCATGTTGGTGTGATATATGTTTGTAATTGCCCATTATAATGCATGTATTTATGCGAATGTTGCATTATTTATCACCCTAATCGTAAATGAGGATAATTGAATAATTTTATGCCATGAATCACCTTTTGTTGTATGATTGTGAGAATATACATTGTGATTGTGATTGTGGTTTGTTGAATGGATCGGTTGCCACGTTTCGGCATAAACATGGGATCGGTTGCCACGTTCCAGCATAAACGTGGGATCGGTTGCCACGTTCCGGCATAAACGTGGGATCGGTTCCCATATTCCGGCATAAATATGGGATCGGTTGCCTCATTCTGTCATAAACATTGGATCAGGTACCACGTTCCGATATGCT